GTGCTTGGCAATCCGGACACTCGCGCTTCAGTCGTAGGGTCCCAAGACATTAGCGGGACCCGAGCTGCCTCTATCACATGGGGAGGCTGATGAAATTTGTTGTTAAATTTGGGGATAATCATCGAGTGGAATTGTGTGAACCATTTTTCCATCACATCTTCCAGCAAATTCAGGTCCAGGATCCGTTCCTTATCGATAGGTAGATAGGTGTCCCCCCATCCTGATGAACTGGAGCATTCTTCTCCAAATTGAGTTGACCAACATCTTGCCTTAACTTCGAACGACGTTCTTGGTCGACATCAAACTCCTCGCTCGCTTTCCTTTTGGATTTCTTCTTCTTTTTTTTCTGTCGAGAAGAAGCTTCTTCCGCTGTTTTTTGAACCGCCTCAACATCCTCCGAACTTGACACAATAACATGGAGGTCAGGATGTTTCACTTTGGTATCTTTCTCAACTACAGGAGGTGGAGAATGGGTGGCAACCACAAGTTCGGTATTTGTCTCGTGAAGGGGCTCTGTAACAGGTTCACTAGCAGGGGCCGATATCGCGACTGTAACCGGTGGACCCGACGTGGTCTTAACGTCGTCACCCGCAGTAGCACGATCAACAGCTTTCTTCTTCAGACTTTCCAGAAAATTCAAACGACCCATCTCGGTATCCTTTACCGAAAATTTAGGTAATCTTTTGCTTCCCGAACAGATTGGAATCCAAAGAATCCTAATAGCGGGTAATAAACTGAAAGGAAAATATAATAACGGAAATCATTTCAATCTTCAATAAAAAGAATTTGACAAGACGTAAAATACCCAAGACCTTAAGAACTTACCAGGTTCAAAGTCGGAGATCGCTTTCTTAGGCCCGAGTTTAACGTCAGCAAGTTTAGAATTCTTCGTCAATAGATTCCACTTGCGTTCCGCAGCGCTAAGCTTTGTAATATCCTCGAGCTTTTCTCTGAATTCACCGCTCAGTCTCGGCTCCTTTTTCCTTTTGGCTACAAATATGAAAAGGTCCGACCTGTTAGCGAAAGAAAAACAACTCATCAGGAGATTCCGAATAAAAGAGAGGAACTTACAGAAAGAAGAAACAACTCGGGTTGGGATTGTCATCCCATCAATTGGCGCTTCAAGTCGAAAATCAGGAGACTGCCAATCTCCACCGACCCACAACCACTCGTCTTGGAAACCGTGAAGGGTTTCAGGAATCCCAGTGATTAGTTGTCCTGTCTTCAAGTCGTATTGCGGCCTCGCCGCACAGAAAAAACAGCCTGTTGTGGGAACTCCTTCACGCTCCCTACTTCTCTTAAAAAGAAAAATGCTTCTTAACTCGTCGATCGAAAGGAATGGAAATTTTTTTTGCGCCAGAAGGACCATGATCCCTATAATTTTCTTCCAGCTGTTGGGAGTTATCTGACTAAGGCTGAGACCCCAATCACGCAAGTAGTCAGTTATTACGTTGTCTAGAGGAAATCTCAAACCCGACCTCAGACTTTCGGCAAAAATCCCCATACAACCGGGAGGAGGACAATGAATCCTTTCTCCTGAATAAGGCGCAAATATTCTCACCGAGGTAGGGATCCGCACCGACTCGCGAAGAAGGACTACGTCAGCATCGGTCATGATGTTGGGCTCTCCTAGAAACAGAACATCGTCGTCGGGCCAGCGCCGAGTAAGGCGATTCCAATAACCCGACCTCACGGGGAATATCTCGTTCCACCTCGGCGTCTCCTTCAATGTTATTCTTACGGATGTCAAGACGTTCCACAAAAACAGGGTCCCACCGGTAATAATCCCCCATCAACTCCATCAACTCCTCATCCAACCTCATGTCCAACACAGTTCGACTGCTGCTGTTTGGCTCAACGTGCTCACCACTCACCGTCATAATCACGACCAGAAAAAATAACACAAAGGAATTAAGAAATGGAAAGAGGAAATTAGGGCTTACCGAAAATTGAAGTAAATTCTTAAGGAATTCTGGATTTGTCGAGATATGAAGAAAAAATAGAAAGAAAGAGTAGAGAAACAATAAGATAATCGAAAAGATGGAAAAAGTTGCTTGTATGAATTCGTGAAGAGGGACTGTGAACTTATTTGTATATATACACGATATTTTCTAACCGTTGAAGATGGAGAGGCGCGTGAGAAACCGTCGCGTCGCTTGAAGGAAATTTCCTTTATTATGACATAAAGTTTCAGGTATAACCTCGTACGTACGCGTGTCCCGAAATTGTTACAATTAATATCCGAAATTTATGGTACGTGCCCGTTGGGAAGAGTAGTGGAGAAGACACGTTCGTAACCTCTCGAAAACTGCTCTATGATTTTCTTCTGGTCTTTAATAGCCCTGGTGAAGGAATGAAAAGATGTGATTCTTGTCTAAGGGAAGTACCTCAGTTTAACTTGTGAAAGATCCATAGGTAAACTCGGAAATAAAAGACGATTGGATAAAAGATGTCATCAAAAAGTACGCATATTCGCGTACTTCCCAATGCCAGGGGCCTCTATGTTGATATCAAGATTAAATATCTTGAGATAAATGATAGATTAAAGGTTGCATAAAGTCCAAACCACGAACCGGGTCTTTGACGATACAAAACAAGATAGCTGGAACCTCGGAAATATCACCTCGGTTCTCATACGACGTTCTGAGAAAAATAGTAGATCCCAAAGGTCGTCAGAATAAAATGTTAAAACCTCGAAATGGGCACCTCGGTTAAAGAGCAGCTTACCAGGAAGTCGTGGAAGATTGAAATTCTACCGAAATGCCGACGTCGCGAAATAACACCGACTTCAACCCGACAGAAGTGACGCTTGTCACACAGATAGAGGAGCGCCCATGCTCATCATTACCTAAAAAGTTTGCCTACGTCATTGCCGCCCCTAAACTGTCAAATCTTCATTAAAACGAAGCTAATTTGTCTTGGGATGAGTGCCAAGCATAACTATAAATAGCAACATTGAAGACGATACGAGGATTCGGCAAAAGTTAGAAAAACACACATATTTATCTCGATTTTCTCTGTTACCGACCTGGTGTACACGAAAAAACCGACTTCCCAATTCTGTAACCGACTTTAAGATTTTCAATAAAAATCTCATTTTCTGCAATCTTTACCGTGATTTTTACCTTAATTACGTTGATTAAATCCGTTTATCAACATATATTACCTCTATCGTTTCGAAATAAAAAGACTATTTTGTAAGGAAACATGTCTACAAATATTTAAATTTAACATCAATTATGTGTGTGTATATGTATATATATATATATATATATATATTTATGTATATATATAGACGAATATGTAAAATATTATGAGTATAATTTAATAAAGACATTATGTCAGATAATACCGAATTTATGGCGTTGCTTCCATCTAAAAAAATTTGATTACACACCATTGTTATTATATTTTTTACATTGTTATCGAGGATATATTGCTAGCTTATAATATTTGTAAAAATATTAGTAATTAGATCGATGAAAATTAGCCTTTTAACGTAGATAATGGATTTCTAGTAGTAACTATGAATTGATTTTTATTTTATTTTATTTTTTAAAATCTTTATAGATAAGAGATGAGATTTTTTAAACTCGAACTCGTGTAGATTTATGCTATGATATTTTTGTGGAAAAGTTTAAACCAAAAGCCAATCGGATTTATTGTTGCAAGCTAGAATTAAGGAAACAATGCAATTAAAGAGCCGGTTTTTGTGCCTATTCACAATTGTCCAACAATTACTATATTTAGGATATATTTAATGATTTTGGCGGAAAAAAATTTCTAAATTTATAAAAAGGTTATTCTTTTTATATAATGATAGATGGCCGAATTTGCATTTACATTCACACGGGCCAAAATAACTAAACTCAAATGGGCTTAGAAAATAACTCCAAAAAGGCTGAGATAATTAACTCCAATTGAGCCGGAAAAATTAGCGATAATAGGCCGATAATTAAGAATGAGATTGGGCCGAGTCCAAGGTTCAGGGAAAATATAATCGAGTTGAAATATATCCCGATAAAATGGGCCGAAAGGAATACGACGCGATAACAAGAATTTTCCATCGATTCGATTGACGACGAATAATAAATAAAATTACACGACTTATTATATTAATTAGACTACATCTAATTAAAATATAATAAGCCTAAACGAAAAGATGTCGAGCAGTTAATAACAATAATCGAGCAAATAATAATAATATAATATTGAGAAAATTTTAATAAACGAACGGGGCGCACGCGGGGTTTCGATTCGGGCCGAAGGCCACACTATTAGGTTTAGCCGTTCGGTTCTCAAGGCTCAGTTTCTTAATCTGAAAATTAGAACGATGCTCGAAAAAATGTACTATGATGAACGGAAAATTAAATATTAAATAAATCCAACATTATACATACATATATATATATATACATACATATATCACATAATTCTACACAATAATATCACTTAGGTATTTATTTCAAATTAATAATATTTATGCCACTATAACAATATTTGAAAATTCCCATAATCGAACAGCTTTGATTTGAATCTCGCGATTAAACCCAAATCGCCGAACGACGAACGTTTTACCATAAGACGATCGAGTACTTCAACATAAAATTTAAGTTGACACCGCGACACGCAAGTCCTAATTCGAATAGTGCACAAAGAAAAATTAGCCTGGACTCTGATAGCAGTTGTTGGGTTCTATTAGGAACGTCGGTAATGTGCACATTCAAATCTATTGAATAATAAATCCTAACACAACGGAATCTGTAGTTAGGATTAGGACTGACGGTTTAAATATTTTTGCCGTCTCAGAGACGTTTCTGATTTCCGTTGATGGAGATTGTCTGTCTACCACAACCCAATCGGTTGAAGGTCTTGGCCTTTGTCGACTCTAGTCGAGTGCTGAATCACGAACGGATCGCCTCGGACCTTTGGTATGTGAACCGGACTCCCCAGACAGCTCGGAAACCATCTTGGGCACGAATCGGGCTATTTGGGTCAAGTCGAACCGGGTCGGGTCGGGTCTGTACTGGACTGGGCTGGTTCGGGTCGGGTCTGGTCGGTCTGGGCCGGACTGGGCTTACTGGGCCGGGACAGCTCGGGTCTGGCACTGGGTCGCGGGCGCTAGACCTCGGGTGCACGCGCGTGGGTCTCCTATGCCTGGGAGGACTAGGCGCGCGGATAGCTGTGCGTAGCACTTTTTCCAGACAGACAGGGACTAGGCAAGCGCAGGTGTGTGCGGAGAACTCAGGGTACGGTGCAGCAGNGGTCGGCGGCGGTGGTTGGCCGAAATATTTGGATCTTTAAGGTTTGATAAATATCACCTTAAAATCTTCTAACGGATTACCTAAACACCTACTTCAATTAATCTTGGTGGAGCGATTAATTGAATCTCCCAAACACTTGATCAAGACAATCTTTCTCTCCTAGGAATGAGGAAAAATCGACATCCATAAGTCTCGTACAGGAGGTTGGGACATGGTGTATTTATAGGCTCCATTAGGGACCTTAAGGATGTGCCAAATATGTGCTTATCTCATTAGGCTAAGGAATCCTAATTCTACTCCATATACTAATCCCATCTAGGTCATGATTCCTTCCTTCTAACATCACCTTCTAGAAGACTCTCAAGTCTCCTAACCCTAGGTAATATTCTAGAAGGAATATTCCCCTACTCTTGGAATATTAAATATGGAATAAAATTAATTCCTAAAATCCTAATTAGAATTAAATAATAAAATATCTCACTAGAATATTATTATTGCTCTCCCCATTTAGCTCCAATTTAATCAATTAAATCAAACCTCCACTTGATTAATATTTATTAATCTGATTGACCGATTTACCTCCCTATGTTTAAGATGTAACGTCCGTTGATTAATTAAATTACTGACAAAATAATTAATCAACTTCTTTATTCATTTCCGGAACTAGTACCACTAAGATTGTTAACCATTATGTCGGAACACATCCGCCTGCAGGGCTTGACAAAATATTCTCTCCTGAGCTCATTTCGGGGACGTCATCAACCCAACGCACTGGGACACAGTGACCGTAAATAATTTATAACAGCACACTATATAAATATTCTTACTTACCAAAATACCGAGTACATCATCCTAACAGAATAGGAATCACCCTTGGTAAATCAAATAAATAAGTAATAAACATATATGCCTATTTTATATTATCTTACAGCTTTAGAGAACGCATCAATCACTGAAGGTCTAGATTACAACAACGGTCAGTGGATCTCGTAATCTTATCCTTTCGCGGTCCTGTTCAATACGTAACATAAGTACTAGTGTAGTTCTCCAGTCAAAGGTCAACTGAATCAAGAATACACTACAGTCTTTTTCAAAGTGGGGTCTCACTGCCAGTCTAGACTGTGCACGAATAATTTAGTCTTACAAGGAACCGATAAGTGACCTTTCTGTTCAAGACATCACAAACCATACTATCTCAATGTAAGACAAGGAGTATGATTGCATAAATAAATAAACTGCAAGCATATGTACTTTGACCGAAACATGATTGCCAGATCAAAATAGAATTGTTCATATCTGAAAGCCAAGCTTTTACAACATATCTAACAAGTAATACATGTTAGTTTACCTTGCAGATGTTCGCAAAATATGTTCACTATCCGCAAGTGTACGGTATAGCTATAGTGAGTGGCGAGCAAGGTCGTATTCCACAGAGATTCTTGTCAAAATAACTAAGTATCAAAATGTAAACAGTTAAATATTATTCAGTCTAATGCAAATTTAAATGGTGATTTTAATCTAAACTAATGAATGATTATAAAATAAATTCTAACACTAATGAAGGCTTGTTCTAAGATAAATCAAGAATGAGAAAATAGATTCTAGGCTATGCTTTCTTCGAGATTATTCTAGCAAAGATTAATTATTCATCCAAACCTTATTTAATTCTACCATTCGTAGGGATAATCGCTAAAGTAATTTACACCTTTCTCTCGAACAAGTTAAATAGTAAATATTAATTGTTATCTATCTCCTCTCGGTCTCAAGATGAACAATCAACTCCCATAAGCTCCTAAGATTCTAGTTCCCTCGCAAGATTCTATCAACCTCTCGGTCTGTTTAGTCTCTTACGTTATGAATTTCCCAATTCTAGCAGTCAACTCTCCTCTCGGTCTCAATCAATCACAAATATGCACAAATACGGCCCTATATTCACACAATTAATAAAAGCACAAGAAATTGATAAACGAATGATAAACCGGAATGATAAATAAAATCACTTCATAAAATAATTCGAGTACTCGCAAATCCTAGAATCCCTAAAATGTTTAGCTACTAAACATATTCTCAAAACCTAAAATAAATATATTCATGAGTTCAATGAAGAAGAAAAAGAGAAAAGAAAGAAGAACTATTGTCGCCGTTAGTTCCCGAATCTTCAATCTTCACTTCCTCGAATCCCTCGTGTGTTTCGTGCTTTCTCTAGGCCTCCAATGGTGTCCAAAAGTGCCAAAAACGAGTTCCTAAGGTCTGTTTTATACTGTAGGGCACTTCTGGATCGAAAAAGAGAAGAAATCGCACAAGAATCCTATTCCCCGCTGATCAGGTCTGCGCGTCACACGAGTCGTGTCACATGCCACACGAGTCATGTGACTTTCCTCAACATTTCGGCGAACTTCCAGACTCACACGACTGGTCACACGACCGGGTCACACGAGTCGTGTGAGGCCACTTCCGTACCCGTTTTCGCCGTTTTTCGTCCCGATTCCATTTCCAACGCATTTCCGAGCATATTTCCTGCAAAACCAACGACAAAAACGCATCTGTCATAGATTAATAAATAAAACAAAATGGTGCACAATCACATGATAACCATGGCCAAATATCACAACATATCACTCATAATGCATGAAAATATGATGAATGTCAACTCCCCCAAACTTAAACCCTTGTTCGTCCCCGAACAAGAATAAAAAATCAGAACTCAAGCATAATGAGTGATATCAAACTAGAACAGCTTCAAGTCCTTCAATGCAACCAAGAAAAATTAAAAAGATCATAATTATCATGCTTTGACTATTAACTTGTATCCACCTTGAATCAACGAACTCTCAAATAGGAATATATAAGTGCCTCACTCACATGTCATTAATATATAAAAGAGAAGGACACGCTCAAGTCACATTGAACACCCAGTTAAATAATTGTTTGCCAATCATCTAAAACTCTACTTCAAACACAATCAATAATCATGAGCTTTAAATCAAAAGGTCTTTCCAGGTTGTAATGTAGGCTATTTGGTCAAGGGTAAGATATATATGGGTTAAGTGGCTCAAATAAACAATCATACTATTCGAGTAAATAGACTACTCGACATACTCCACTACTCCTCTCTAATCAACACAAACCGTTTCTCATTCTCAAACCAAAATAATCCATACACAACTCATAAATGCTCAAATCAAATTGCAAAAGAAGTACTTGACCATTCTTTTTTTTCTTTCTTTCTTTGTTTATTTTTTAAGAGAGTTCAATTTTTTCCAAACAAAATCAAACTGCAAGAACAATATTCTCTAGGTATAAATATTGGAGGTCATCCAAGTGTCCTACAGTGGTTTCCCAATACTCATTACACGTCAAAATAAATCAACTAGTAAGAGGAGTAGAATCCCAACAATTCGACTTGCGATCTCTCTTTATTATTATTATTTTTTTCTGTTTTTCTTTGCTATTTTTTTCTTTATTTTTTTTTTCTTTCGGTCAAACACAGTAAATGCAACTCAATCACAATACATTCCATACCTAATCATCCAATAAATAACTCTGTTATCCCCATACATCCCAAATATCAGTCAACTCTCAAAATAAATAAGATATACCGGTCGACAAGAAAAAGGCTTAAGGTTCAAACGGGCTACTAGTGAAAAATATTTTTAAGGACAAAGAACAAGGCCAAACGAGCTAAATTCAATAACCGCCTAAATCATTTTTAAAGCTCAAAATCACCAATGCATTTTTTCAAGTGTAGAATCAAGGCAAATTCTAATAACTAGGGTATTCAATTGACACTCACAGACAAAGAATAAAAGCTCAAATCTCACTAAGCTCAATGTCGCTAATTCAAGGCTCACAAGCATTTTCATCTAGGCATGACTTTCACAACCCAATCACAATTCCTTAGTCACATCAAATCACAATTCACCATTCAAGTTATACATACCATCATCAAATCGAAAGCCCAAAATACACAAGAAACTGACTCATAATAATCCTACTCCTAAAAAGCAAATAAACGTGATATACTCAATAAAGACATAAAAATAAAAATAAACTAATGCAACCTACATGAAATGCAAGATAATTGGGATAAGAACCTAAGATATGCCGCAGCCTTCCCCCAAACTTATTTTTTCGAGAAAGAACAAATTTGAAGAAAAAGTGGTATATCTTAGGGGACTAACTTCCTGTAAGTCATGGTTGAGGAGGGGGAAAATTCCCCTCATGTCTCTGCATCCAATCGAACAGCTGCTGGAAACCGCTGTTCATCCTCTCCTCTAGTCGGGCCGCAGACGCACGGTTCTCATCCCGCATGCCCCGTACGTCTGTCCTAAGCTCGCGCATCTCTCGCTCGAGAATCAACATCCGCTCCTCCATGTTCGGCTCTCGACGCCGATGCCAATGCCTCTGCCTCTGCTGCTACTCAGCTGCCCGTGAGGACTCCAGTCTGTCCTCTCCTACCGGCTGCTCGGGTACTTCACCATCACCCTCGTACCGTACAAGGGCTCCCTCATCTTTGCCCTCAAAGGCAGCCATCTCATCCTCCTCCTCATTCTGGGCTGCCCGGTCATAGATAGTAGGCCGCGGGGCGAACTTCCGGAGGGACCCCACCGGTCGTCTTACTGCCACAACCCGCCAATTCTCCGGCCAGTGGACTCCAGTCAACTGTGGGAAAGGTAAAGGGAAATTGTCGCCCTCCTCTGTAAGAAGAACATGTTGTCGCTCATGTCCGTTTTCAAATAGCCCATGTTCACTAGGGCCGACAAGTTCAGCACGTCCGCTCCCGGGACTTGCTCCCAATCAGTGTGGCCAATCCCAAGCTGGTTGGCGATCATAGTCACAAGTCCACCACACCGGATGACATCTATATCTGCCCAGCTCAGGTGGAGCAGATGGTCGCCTACCAAACGTCCGATCCTAGGC